AGTGTACAACAAATGAGGCACTTTTTCCTTTCATATTGTTCTCATGTTTAATACATGTAACAACATTCCAAGAAGTATTTCCTACTCTGCAATAGTTGGGAAGTTACTTTGCATTGCTTGTTCAACACAAAGGCCAAAAGTTTGCTTGACTGCATGAAAAAAAAAACAGGGAGTGGTACCCATGTATCAAAATATGCAGATATGTCAGTGGCAACTTTGGTGGTCGGACTTGTGGGGCTCTGCCCGAGTGAGTCAACCTTCAAGTATATCTATTTCAAAGCAACACAAGTCTTTGTAGTGCGTCATTTTCATTTGTGACTTCAGCTGGATTCAAAATTGTTTTAACTCCATGCTTCAAAATAAATAACCAAAATACATTTCGTTAACATTGTTCATAATAAAGAAAAAAGAAAGAAAAACAAAAAAGTAAGTAAAAAAAAAAGAATGAAAGAAAATTAACGTGGCCAGTCCGGCTGCATAGGCCTTAGCCCTATCTGAGCTGGAGACAAACTTAATAGGCAATATATTTCTTGCTTTAATTTTATAAATAATCTTTTAAAAATCTCTAATGACTTGTATTCCCTGTTTTTAATAACACATTTTTATTTGAAATTATTGTTTTCAAATGTCCATTTTAAATAGTTTATTCCATACAGTATAAGGTTTTTTAGCATAATGTATCAATTGAAAAACGGAAAATTAAATTTAGCCCAACCTGAAGTGGCAGCTTAACTCATTGACAGGAGGGTTGTGAAGCTGAGGAGTGTGACTGGGGTAGCATTGAGGAAATATGATATCAGTCAGCAGTACTGAAAATTCACAGAGAGATACATAAACACACTAACATATTTTAGTTAGAGTAGAGGAATCATTTTAGTATTTAAGTTATACCAATAGTATATTTTGTTAAAGATTTTAATGAGCCTGACATTGATGGTCTAGAGTCACCATTGGGATACATGTATGCATGAGTATGAGAGAGATTTGAGAATTGCGTCTCATTTTCCAGTTATAAGTAACACAACTGCCTACCATATACCAGTAATCATTAATTAGTAATATATAAATACTTCTGACTCTCTACTCCAACAAATAGGAACAGTTTAACTTGTACACAATATACGGGCTCAAATGTTTCTATCTTGATTCTAATATTTCTACACAGTTTGATTGAATAAATACTTATTAATTCTTATTAATAATCAGCATTCCTTTATAAATTAGTGATTACACTGAAAGGGGGTTAATTAGCCCCTTTTGCAGATGCCTGCTTAGGTACATTTTCTGTTTCTTGTACATTCAGAGAGTCATTCTGTGGTTTATAGTGGGGCTTATATGAGGTTTGTCTGAAAAGTAACAGGACTGGTGTCACAAACAATTTATTTCAATTCAAACTACTACATGGTCTCCCCACCTTCAAAGTAATCCTCAGTTTTGCTGTTCATTTGTATTTATATTCTAGAAGAGACCTATTGACTGCCAGATATAAGACTGATACCAAAATTTTAGAAGTTAATGTTTTGGAAGAAAAAAAAAAATGGAAATTTTTCTGATTTATTTGGAAAATTAATGGCAGTAATGGTTTTAGATAAATGATATGGCTCAGCTCAAAAGCATTGTCATAGAATTTGGCCAACTTCTTAGTTTTCAGTTCCAACAAACAGTATAGGGCCGTGATTCCCAAAATGGGGCAATTTGATTTTTAAAGGAGGCAATTTGAGAATTTGTTAACAGTGAATTTTTTTCTAGTGAGCCTATGTGAGTATGAATGTGAATTAATAAATATAGTACATATACTTTATGCATACATAAAGATATTTGTATGTACATGTGTAATTACGTATGCACTGTATATAATATTGTGGTGGACTCTCCTATTGTGAATGATGAATGAGGGTCAGCATTGGATGATGCCCTTTGTTTTACACATATGCATGCTAGCAAGGTCTATTGTGGAGAAAATCAGGTAAGGGAAAGACATATTTCATTTGTGCTTTCTTAAGTGTGATACTAGCCCAGCCTTACTGCACGTGACAAAGCCACACTAACAGATGAAATTTGTTAAAGCAGGATTTTGATGGCGACTCTGCTTCAGAGCTTAACAAAACTGATTATGGTGCTTCAGTCTACTAATCTTAAAAACCCCTTAACTTAATGAAACATGTCATGCCACTCCTTTCAGTTTGATGCTTGGGCTTCCCAGGTTTTCAGATCAAAGTTGAGGCATTTCAAGTTGTCTTTCAATTTGTCTTTGCAGTGTAAGAGTGGACATCCATATATATCGGTTAAAAGGCACGTCAGACTATATGACGGTTCCGTATAAGATACAGGTTCAAATCCTGTCAGAGGACGAATATTTTCTATGAAAATTTCTCGGACATTCAGGCCAGTAAATGTTGTTTAATACTGTTTATTATAAACAGAGCATTTACTTAAATATTTGTATTTATAAAAAGAATGTATAAACATAAAATGTCTTAAAATAATTGTAGAACTTTGTCCATTTCATAATGTGTGATGCTATTTTTTTACATTTGATACGCCATGAGCAGATATAAATGTACGTGAGAGATTCATGGATGATTGAAGTTTAAAAGCAGTAAATTCGACCTTGCTAACCGAACGATCCTTTGTGTCCAAATCAGTTAAAAGGCACGTAAGGCCATATGACAGTTCCGTATAGGATACAGGTTCGAATCCTGTTGGATGACAAATATTTTCTATGAAAATTTCTCGGATATTCAGGCCAGTAAATGTTGTTTAATACTGCTTATTAAGCATTTACTTAAATATTTGTATCTATAAAAGAATGTATAAATATAAAATGTCTATATATATATATATATATATATATATATATATATATATATATTAGTAACACAATATTTTTTATAAATATTGTAAAATTCTAAAATTAAATGATAATACTATGCATATATGTTTTCTCAAGTTCTTAAGGAAATTTAAGTTAATGGCCTTTTATGCTTTCTCCATGTGAATAGGAGGTCACTTTTAGAATAAAAAGAATTATATGTCACAGAGGGGGAAGGATCAGGATTTTAAAGATGCTTAGATGGGGCATGGTGAAAAAAAAATGGTTGGGAACCACTGGTGTAGAGGCTGAAGCACCAGGATTAACCCTTTCTATAGTGCCATGGATGTGGTTAATGCTTGCTTTTTATTCTAAAGATTCCATTATGAGAAATTAGTTTTTGAAAAATTGAAAAAAAATTAAAAGTGTAACTTTTATTTATTGATATTGCAGATTAAAGATGATGTAACAAGAGTCTGAGTCAAGTCGAATAACTACTTTTAACATTTTGGAGGTGATTTTGTTTACAAAGCAAAAATTTCATCCTGCCACTGCAAGTGACTTAAATGAATGAATAATAGTATGTTTCAATTTTACAGTTGTGTTGTCATATCCTGCTATGGCAACAGAAAATGACTATGACTGAAATTAATTCTATCTGTGGTTGGTATGATGATCTCCATGAAAGACTAGTTACAAAGTTGTGAGCTTCAAGTTCAACTTTTCTCAAAACCTACTTGATAACTTCCAGTTTTGTGTTGCTTGTTCTAGCAACCAAAGAGTGTAATGACCCAATATCTTGGGATAAAAAGCAACAATAAAATGGAATAAAGATTGTCTTAAAACAATAGCAATAAAAAAGAACATAACATACAGTACTGTGACACAATAAATCAGTAACAATAAGTTAGTAATTAAATAATTATAGTAATGAAGAGTGCATCCAAACAGAGTGTTATGACAAAAAAAGCAACAATAAGATAGAATAAAAATAGGTTTATTAACTTTGGGGTTAGATAAATACAATGAGAAAAATTGGAGAGTAAAAAAGTAATTTTGCTAAAATTTTGAATTGTATAAAAAATAGTGAACTTTTACCAAATTTCAAAATAGATTTTCTTTATTATGTTCACTTTTTCTTTTCTGTTACATTTAAATTTCTTTTACCCAAGAAATACTTTAAAAAACACAAATTTAGTAAATTAATTATAAAGAGTAGTGTTAATGTTTTATGATTGACTCATTCTTGGTTCCACCAAGTCTAACCTTGATGGCTAGGATATGCCATGCCACTTACATAGTAGCAAATCACCCAAATTCTCTCCATATCAGCAAGAAGTAACTTCTACTCAAACAGCTTATTCTCATTAACCTCTGCCCTATGCAACAGACTCCTAAGAGGATGTTTCCTCCATCCCTGTTCAAGTCTAGAGTTAACAGTTATCTTCCTCTACTATCCATATAAACTAACCCTCTACCACAAGTGGCCCCTGAGCCTTCTACAGAATGAACTTTACTGTAAAAAAAAAAAAAAAAAAAAAAAAAAGAATGTTCTAAAGGAAATAAATACATTTTATATTATTTCTATTGTAATGCTATAATTTTTTGGCAAACTTGGACCTTTGTACCCACAAAAAAATGAAGTATCAAAATGACAATTTTTCCCTTGACACCACTATTATTTTAACTACCTTCACTCCTCAGCAATGATTATTGTTTTAGAAAGCAATAATCAGAATTGTAATAAAACCTAATCATAACATGGAAATGAATTTATACGTTAATTGTTTTTGAGAATTTACAACAAAAATTTAAACTCTATTTATCTATTAGATTGTTTATTTACAAGAATAATTTTACTTTTTACAACATTCTAAAAACAAATACAATTGTATTAAAACTAATGCAATACAATATTTATCATTTACCAATTTATAAAGAAATAAATATGAAAATTTACTAAATTATTACTGAACCAACTATAAAGAAATCCTTTTTATTTAGTTAAAATAATAGCAGTATCAATGGAAAAACCATCCTTTTGACACATCGTTTTTTTGCAGGCACGAAGGTCCAAGTTTGCCAATTATTTTTTTTTTTTAAATAAACTTTTTTTTTGATAATGTTACATTTTTAAAAAATATCCAAATGATTTTGCATTTTATTTTATACATTTTTTTTTTGTTGTTCATTCTGAAATAGCAGGAAATCCATTATCCTTGATAACTTTTGAGTAAAAGTAAAAAGATTTCTTTGGTGTTCGACATTTTTCTTCAGTGTCAAAATCTACACTGACTAATCCAAACCTACAGGTGTATCCAAAAATCCATTCAAAGTTATCCAGTAGGGTCCAGGCAGTGTACGCAACCACATTGCAACCATCAATTTTCACTGCTGCAAATTCAACAAAAAGAGATACTGATTAAAAGAAAATAATTAAATATTAACAGATAATTTCAACATGATAATGACGCGAAATATTCAGCTAAAGTAACTTTTGTTTTCACTTTTTCATCCAAAAGCCACTTAAGATAAATGCTTACTGAATTAAGTTGTTGAATAGAGATGTGGTTGGCTCTAGACTTGAAGAGATTAACATTGTCATGAGCAACCACTTAAGCATCTATTCCATGAAGTAGTGATTCTTGTAAAGTAACTGTCTAATTGAAACTTCCTCCTTACTAATGGAATATGAAGGGAATAAGGATGATTCAATTTTTTTTCTTTACGTATGTTCACCCAATACAAGGCCCAAGGGCCACTCAATGTAGAGATATACTGTGTCAAAATAACAGGAAAGATAGCTAATTTTAGACTCAAAGAAGTCAAGATTTAATTAGCAAATAAAATTTCAAAGTTCAGGTGGAGATGTTAGGAGTATAGAGTTAAAGTAAACTTTATAAGGGACCAGAAATCCAATCCTAAACAGGAAACAAGGGACGAACTTCTACTCCTGTTCAAAAGACTGGGGAGGAGTGTGAACCGAGCGATAGTCAAACCTATCTACTCCTATGAAACTAAAGAATGTAGTTTGTCAACATTTTCCATGGAAATAGCAATAGAGTAGCAAGAGATTTGCAACATTTTGTTTGTGGAAAAGGGGTTGTAGGATGGAAAATAATTCATCACCCACAGGGCCATGTAAACACTTTTGGACTCTGTCAAGGCTGGTAAGTGAGGATTGAGCAACTCTAGCCCAGAAGACCCTACTTTGTAGATTTTACTGCTGGTCATAAAAGTGCCACACACTTCAGACTCAAATAGAATCATTTAGGTCTCACTTGACTTTGTGTATGTTCTAATGATGGCTGGGTTATAGTGTGTGTCATACAAATATTTTAACTGAGTTCAAAGTCAGAAAGCTTACAATCAAATCTTGCTAAGAACACCAATTCTCATTCGATCACCCAAATTAAGTGGTATCAAGTCTAGTCAGTACTTAGATGGGTGACTGCTTCGGTACACTAGTTACTGTAAGCAGCCTTCTACAATCTGAAATATGTTTCAGATTTAAATAACCCACAAAAGGTTGATAAATCATAAAAAGTCAAATCAAATAATATCAAAATAAGAGATTATTTTATAAACAAATTAACCTGTGATTTTCTGAAAAGAATTTATATATATATATTATGTAAAAGATCAAGTTTAAACCCAAATTAGGTTGATTAAAGGGTTAAAAGTTGACCTTTACACACAAATGCTTACCTTTCAGTAATTCATTAATATGAGACTTAAAAAACTGCACTCGTTCAGGGTCATCAACTGTCCCAGAAGAATCGGAGAATCCATTTTCTGTCATAAATACTGCTACTGAGTTATATTCATTCTTCAGCCAATTCAATATGCCCCTGATTCCTTGTGGGACAACATATAAAAAAAACAGACTCATGCTAAAAATAAAATAAAACATACTATTATTATTAATAGTAGTAGTAGTAGATTGCTTGAACTGCCAAAAATTATAGAAAATTTAAGTAATTTTGCAATAATATTTTACTTGCTTTTTTATAATCATTTCACTCCAAGCAGGGGGGGGGGGGTTACAGAGAGTGAAAGAATTTAAGAAGTGGGGGTTACAGAGAGTGAAAGAATTTAAGAAAACAAAACATTATTAAAGAGTGAGAGCAATAAAAGAACAAGAATTAAGAAGACAAAAGATAATAATTTATATTACATTAAAATTTTTGAAGATCAAAGTTGACTGGAAAGCAAGAAACCAAAAAGAGAGTTCTATATGCAAGAAGTTTGATCAAAGAAACTGTTAGCATAGAACTTACAGTTACGTCTAGCCATTTTAACTGTAAAAATGAGACCTTGCTGCCAATCTAGTACTGCACTTAAATTCATAAAATCTAGGTATCATAGCAGAATGTTCATCAAAACAGTTATCATAAAAGCCTTTATAGAGAAAAGGCACAGGTAAGTTACATCACATTGGTGGGAAAGTAACTGAAGCTGAGATGCTAGGTCAGGACTAAAAACATTGCAGATTCTTCTTTGTGGTAAGTGACTGTTTTTGGTTTTAGGTGTCCTTTTTTCTTTGTGTAGAGAAGCAAGAAACTGGAAGAGAGTTCTACAGGCAGGAAGTGCAAGTAAAGAAAATCAGAAAGAAAAATGTCAGGTATGCTTACCTTTTCCAGTTGGGATCTACTGTTCTTTTTACCAAAACATCAAGATCATACTCAATATCTGTAGGCATATCACTGTCTGGCACTGAGACAAGTCTTGATGTGTAGTAATTATAACCTAAGAAATCAGAAGTTCCTGAAAAAGAAATAAGAAAACATTAAAAAAAAACATACACAAATTCTTCAATAAAGAAATGTTCTCAACTAAAGAGTATTACCTTTTGTAATGCTGAGATGAATCATTATCATTTCAAGAATTATTCAGACTATTAAACGCTTTTTTTGTTCTTTTCTTAGAACACACTGTGTTGCTAGAGAGAGAGAGAGACAAGACCCTCCCACAAAAGGTCCACCTTCTGGGTGGATATTTTTAGACTCTGGTATAAACCAAAGGTTAAGAGAATCTATTATTTTTATGAATGAAACTTCTCCAAATTCCGGATCATTTGATGTGGTCAGATGAACTTACAAAATGGAAGTCTTTCATCTGGGTACTGTTATTGCTGGTAAAATTAGTTGTGGTTGAAATATGCTTCAGAGCAGTCCATTTACTACCATTCACTGACCTGACATGTAAACTATACCACAAAACCCAGCAACTCCCAACTTAAGTTTTTTTTTAAGTATTTTTAACTTCTTTGCTGGTAAGACTTTATGTATTTTCCTTTTAGCCAGTGATCATCACTAAAATTAAAATAAAACCTTTTTTAGTACACTATTTACATTATTCGGACTATTGTCCTCATCTTTGTTGCCATATTTATTACATTTTGGCCATTGTATGCTCCAGCCTTCTACAGGTGGTTGGAATATCGAACTGAACCCTTTAATTTGCTCACTGGGATAGACTGTTTTAGTTCCACATGCCATGTTTTAATGGATGTCACTTAGCAGTTATCTCCTGTTAATTCTTCTCTGAATTCTTTTTACCACCTTAAACAGGTATTGAACTCACACTCTTTGGATCCTGTCACTGGATCTAACTAATGCGTTTATCCACTGTGCCATGTGTCCTTTTTTTTTGTTTGCTTTCTATAAAACTTAGCTGGTCTTATTCCTTTTACTTTTCTTTGTTTTATTTCTTTTGTCCTACACATGACACCCAACCATTGTGTACAAACTAGACCTGTGTCTACCTTTTTGTGGTGTCAGTCATTGAATTTGTCTCGTAGCAAACAGAGTAGGAAGATAAAGAAATATAAAGTTAAGAAAAATAAAGTTGAAAAGAATAAGAATTTCTGTCCTATGATAATTCGATTGAATCAGTTTATACCTTATTGTTGTTCTCATCATATTTTGCATGCTATTATACTCATCAATCTTTCTACGATGCCTGTTGCATTCTCAAATCTTCTAGAAACATTTTTCAAAATTCTTTATTTTACCCACAGTGCTCAGCTCAGTCCAGTTATTGTTACATTGAGTCTTCTTCCAACATAATTTAAAAATTCATATCTTTTTTTCTTTTCATATGAGTCAATGTATATTTCTGATGGATTTGGACCAGGGATTGAATTTATAACAATCGGTAAATAAGAAGTAGATTTTTCTATCCACTAAGCTATTTTATATTTCTGCCTAAACTGACCATTAGCCGCTCCTTACAGAAACGACCTTGACCTTCACAACCCCTGATCTTGCAGATTTAAGTCCAGCAGCATGCGAGAAACTTTACAATTGAGTCCAAAACTGTACCTCATGAGCATCGGATTAGACAGTGCTTCCCAAACATTGAGCAATATGGGGACTAATTTTATATCTACGGTTTTCTACTCCCTCTAGCCAGGGAGTACTTGAACAAATTGTTCCACATATGGTTAGCCCCTTTTTTCATCCAAACCCAAGTTGCTCAGCCTGGGGGCCTGGATCAAAGTGTAGTATGCTACTTCTGGTGCTTTGTCAAGAGAATACTCTTTGGCGTGATCCTGTTTTCATGGTCAATTTGCCCTGGAAGATGTATCACCTGACTCCAGCTTCGTCAAGTGTTACACTTCGGCGTGATCCCATCTCCGCGGTTGATCCACCCTGGAAGTCATATCACTACTCTGACTCGGCCATGTTTAGGGAATTTGCCTCCATCAAGTGCTACCCTTCAGCACAATCCCGCCTCTGTGGTTGATCTGCCCTAGAAGTTGTATCACTACTCTGACTCAGCCCTGTTTAGGAGTTTTGCCTTTTGTCAAGTGCTACACTTTGGCGTGATCCCACCTTTGTGGTTGATCCGCCCTGGAAGTCGTATCACTATACTAACTTGGCCATGTTTAGGGACTCATCCTAACCGATCCTACAAATCTTTGTGTGTCATCGATCAACCAGCTGCTGTCACCAACAATTCTCCCATCTGGCAGTCGACCAGCTACTGCCACCAATACAACTGAATCAACTTCACCTGAAGGAAACCAGTCATGCCAGATCCGACACCAATACAAACATATTTCTCCAGACAGTACACTCTTGTACATTTTGGATAGATAAAACTGACGTTTATTGTTTTTTAAACTTCTGCCTTTGTCCCCTCATTGTCTCGGCTGTTCACACCTTTCTTCTAAAAGCTTTCACATGTGACATCCTTATTGGCCCTGCAACAGATTACTTTATCCACTGAGTCATTGTATATTTATGCCAAACTTACCCAGAGATTGAATTCATGACAACCTGTTGTAGCATACCTACAGACAATAATGGGTATGTCCCCATTCACATAAATACAGTAGTAAATACTATATGTTGGTCTGCAGTCATCGATCATGTGACACCCCCGTATTGTGGGGTGAAATGGATGGTGTTTCTGACGCTGCTGGCAACAGCCCGAATGGTGATCTGGATGACACAAACAGAGGAAGTCTTGTGAGGCAATCATCTTTCTCATCAGGATCTAATTTGATTCTTTGAGCATCAGCTCAAGATGAAGATTAGAACTGATAGAAAACACTTGCATTCGACAGTATTCAATGAAAGGTGGTTAAAAGAGGCGAGCTTGGTTTGTTTGAACCGGGCTAGCCTTGATTTTCTCTTTTAGGTCAACCTATGTCGCATCAGGGTGGTTTCCTGCGGAGCCCTCCCCTTGGTTAGGTTAGACAAGCTTCAGTGTACCTAGTTAATGTGAGTAAGTGTTGTTCCTGGCCTGTTCCCGGCCGCCTCTTTGGGTATGATTCAAGTTGAGATTCCCGACCTCCCTAGTTTGTTTGGCCCCCTTCTTATCTCAACTTGGTCAGCTTTATATTTTCCCAATGTCCATCTATATTTTCATCTTCCCACTCCCTTAGTGAGAGAGCCTCTTGATTTTGTCCAATGGGCAGAATACAGCGGCCTCTCCGTTTTGAGGGTTGGTCGGCCCCTACTAACATCAGTTATGTTTAGTTTACTTTGTGTTGAGTTTTAGTTTTATTATTATTGGGTTCATCTCCCTCCCCTCTCATTCTTCATTATTAGAATTTTATACATATATTTATTATCATTAAATTTTTAAGGCATGGGGGGTGCGTTTTGTAGGTTTCCCCTTGAGAGAATGCAGTATTATGGTGGATGGAGGATTGATTGGTGATGGATGAATTCTTATAGTGAATGTGAAAACTGTAATGTGTGAATGGGCCGTGAATCAGATTAGCTAGGTATAAGATAGTGACGACCAGCCTCAACCCCTCCCCATTTTGGCCTTGTGCCACAATTGTATTTTATATACAATAAATATCCTGCAGTCGTCGTTTGTAGTCCTTATTAAACCTGTTAAGACCATTTTTCCTGCCACTCTAGAAAATTATCTTTTTGTTCTGCAAACTCCGTTTTAGTTAAGTTCTGATTTATTTTTTAACCTTTTACGTTCTGTTTTTGTGATTGTTATTTGAAAACTTTGATTTTTTTCACTTTTTCCTTTCTTTTTCAGTTTATTACTTTTTATTTTTCCTTTTATTTTGTATTTATTCTATTATTAGTTTTGATTTTTACGTCAAAGTCTCTTTTTTAAGTTATTTTTTTTCGTTTTTGATTTTCTATACTCCCCTCCCAGAGTTTATTTGTTTAATTTTCTTTGTCGTCAGACCTTATTTTTCTTTGTTCATGTGTTATTTGTTACGTGTTACTTCGTTCTTTGTTTTTTTTTCTTTTTAAATATCCATTAAATGTTCTGTGTTTTAATTGTTTAATTCTTCTGTTTTCATATTTGGGTTAACTGTTTGTGTTTATTTAGTCTAATTTGTCTGTTGTCCATTTTTCGTATTTCGTTTATTGGCGAACCTTTATTTTTAAAGCCGCCATATTGAATTTTTTGTTTAGTTAGAGCTTGTCCTTTTTACTTTAATATTTAGTTTAAAAAAAAAGGGAAAAAAGCTTTTTTGTTCTTTAAAGTGTTTTCCTTATAGTTTAACTTATTTTGTTCAATTTCTTCAGGTCTCCATTCGTATAACGTTTGTTTTTGTATTTATCGTTTGAACTGTTTTCCATTCTAATTTTGTCACTATTTGTTCAAGTTTCTTGTCTTTTTTTACTGTATCGTTTATTGTTCTTTTTTTACCGTATTTAATTGCATTTATTTCGTTTCAAAATTATTTTGTGATTATCGTTTGATGTTTATCATCTTAAATTTATTCACTTCTTGGCGAACTTTGTTTCTTAAATATATTTCTTTTGCTGTTTTATTTTTTAAGCATATAGGCGACCCTTGTTCTTACCACCCCTCCCCTTCCATTCCTGTCTTATATTTTTTAAAAAGTGAAGAAAAAACCCCAAAAATTCCGTCTTTCTTAATTAAAAAAAAAGAAACCAATGTTGGCTGACTACAGAAGGTTGATTAAAAAACATTTATTTTCAATAAAAAAGAAAACCCACCTGACAAAGATAGCACAGAGGAGTACCCAGTTTTGCCAAGTACATCCCTAGATAAGGAAAATGTCAATAGTCCAAAGAATATAACTAAATTAAAAGTATGGAGGCCAAAAATGGCCAAAACGTAAAATCAAAAAATATGGAGGCCAATAATGGCCAAAACAAGGAAAAGAAAAGAAATAATGTTGAGGCCGGGGAATCGCCCTCTTGTTGGAAGCCCCCCCCACACACACACACACACCAAAGTGCGTAATCAATCTTGCGGAGTTCTTGGAGCGAGCTAAGAGTTACACATACCTTGTTGTAGAAGGTGGA